GGTTGTGGCTCTGCGGACGATCGCATCTGCGACGCAGCTGACCCCGGGCATGATGCACGCACGGCTTGCGCACGTCGGCGTCGACACGATTAAGAGCTCGGCGAAACATGAGGTTGCTGCCGGTCTGGACATCATGAAGTCGACCGCAGATGATCTGCCGTGTGCCTCCTGCGTCGGCGGCAAACTTGCACGGCACACCTTCCCCGATCAAGGATCGGACGGCGAGAACGCTCTTGATGTGGTGCACGTCGATATGTGCGGGCCATTTGGAGTGGCCGCCAACGATGGTAGCTTCTAGTTTCTTTTGCTAAAAGATCGGAAGACTCACTACGTGTGGGTGAGGCCGATCGCGAAGAAGAGCAACGTGTTGGTCGTCTTCGAAAAGTGGCTGAAGGAGGTAGAGCGGCAGATGTCGAAGACGGTGAAGAAGCTGCGTTCTGACCGCGGAGGGGAGTTCCTCGGTCGCGCCTTCACCGACCTCGTCGAGGACAAGGGAATCCTCCACAATCTGACGTGCCCCTACACTCCGCAGCAGAACGGGATGGCTGAGCGGGAGATGCGTACGGTGGTCGAGGCCGTGCGTACGATGCTTCTGCACATGGGCGTGAAGCATCACTGGTGGCACCTCGCTCTGCGCCAAGCTGTCTGGGTGCGCAACTGCCTCGAGTGGGCTTCTCTGCCGCAGGGGACGACGCCGCACGAGCTGCTCTTCGGGACGAAGCCGGATCTGATGCTGGCGCGCGTCTGGGGCTGCATGGTGCAGTTCATGGTCCCCGCGCAGCGAGAAGCTGGCGCCGAAGGCTCGATGGGGTCTCCACCTTGGCGTGTCGCTAGAGAGCAAGGGCTGGGAGGTGCTCGACCTCGACTGCCAACAAAGTCGTCACGACGGTCGAAGCAATCTTCTACGAGAACATGTCGATGGAGAAGTGGAAGGTGGAGTACGGGCCCGCGCCGACGCGGCCGTCGTCTGCCCCGCCGCCGGATTCCTCCTCGTAGCTGCCTCCTCTGCTTGCCGTCGTTGACGAGCCAGATGATGAGGACGTCGTGGAAGTCCCGCTCCCTCCTCCTGTTGTGCCCTCGTCGGCCGTCGGCAATGAGGGGAGACTTGGTGCGTCGCCTACGGCGCCGACCGGTTGCATCGCCGGTGGCCGACGTGACGCTGAGAAGGTCAGCGACGGGAAGCTGCAGACGACAGGGGAGCGGTCGGCGTCGAAGCCGACTGTAGAGAAGCTGCTGGCAGAGGCGCCGAAGCAGACTGCAGAGGAGCCATCAGCAGAGGCGCCAACTTCAGGGGAGCCGATGGCAGAGAAGGCAATCCTAGGGGAGCAGCCGGTAGAGGAGCTGCCAACAGGGGAGCAGTTCGACGACGATTCGTCGAGCGATGACGTTGTGGAAGTCGTCGGTGCGGCCGGTGGCGGAGAAGGGGAGCAGTCCGAAGACGACGACGTGGTAGAGGTAGCGGTCGAAAAGGAGAAACCGCGCCATTCTACCCGCTCCAACTTCAGCAAGCCGCCTGAGAAGCTAAGCTACCACGCTTGTCTGCCGCCGACGGCCTACAGCATTTTGCTCGACGATGCAGAGGACGACGTCGATCTGCCCGAGCTCGACCCCGACATGCACGCCGACCCAGAGCATCGCTGGGACATCGCCACCATGACGGTGAAGGAAGCGTTCGCGAGCTGGAAAGGCAAGGCGATGAAAGCGGCCATGGACAAGGAGATCAAGAGTCTCATCTCCAACGGAACGTGGGAGCTGGTCGAGCGTCCGCGCGGTGTCAACGTGATGAAGAAACGTTGGGTACTCACGACGAAGTACCACGTCGACGACACGGTCGCCCGCAAGAAGGCGCGTCTGGGTGTGAAAGGTTTCACACAGGTCTACGGCGCAGATTACGACAAGACGTACACGCTGGTGGGGAGCTACGTAACTCTGCGGATTTTCCTGAGTATCGTAGCAGTCCTCGACCTGCACCTGATGCAGCTGGACATGAAAAATGCGTTTCTACAGAGCAAGCTGGATCGCGTCCTCTACATGAACCAGCCCGACTACTTCAACAACGGAACTGGCCGAGTCTGCAAGCTGCTGAAGAGCTTGTACGGACTGAAGTAGAGTCCGCTGCTGTGGTACGCGGCGCTCGACGCGGTGCTGACCGACGCCGGTTGGAGCAAGAGCCAGGTAGACGAAGCGCTCTACTTCACGGTCGGCGACGACGGAGTGACGTGCTGGGTGCTCGTCTACGTCGACGATCTGCTCGCTGCAAGCAGCAGCACTGCGATGCTGAAGGAGTTGAAGGAGCTGTTGGAGGCCGCCTTCGAGCAGCGCGAAATCAGCCCAGTCGAGAAGTATCTCGGGCTGGAAATCATGTGCGACCGTCCTGCGCGAAAGCTGTGGCTTCATTAGCAAGTCTACGTCGACAAGCTGCGCCGACGTTTCATCGACGAGGAGCAGACCGGGCGAGTGCCGAAGACGCCGGTCTCCGTCGACGCCTACGCAAAGCTGGTGTTCGACGACGAGGAGTTTCAGTCGCGCAGGGAAGCAAAATATCGGCAGAAGGTCGGTTCGCTGCAGTTTGCGGCGACAACGACGAGGCCGGACATTGCATTCGCGTGCAGCAAGCTGGGTAGCGGCCTGACAATGCGGAGCGACAACCACTGGCGTGAGGTCGATCGGTGTCTGCACTACCTCGCTGAAACTCGTGACGCCGCTTTGGAGTTTGGCGGCGGACCAGAGTCGCTGTGTCTGGTCGGCTATGCAGATGCCGACGACGCTGGCGACAAGCAGAATCGGACGAGCACGGGGGGCTACGTTTTCGTCTTAGGAGGAGCCGCAGTCTCTTGGGCGAGCCAGCGCATCAAGTGCGCGACGCTCTCGTCGACCGAATCAGAGTACATCGCGGCTACCGAAGCTGGCAAGGAGGCTCGCCATCTGCGCTTCCTCCTTGCAGAATTCCGTCTGCTCGACCCAAGGAAGCCGACTGTTCTGCACGTGGACAACCAGTCGGCGATCACTGTCGCAGAGGGCTTGGGGCTCAAGGGCAACCTCAAGCACATGGAGCGACGCTACGCCTGGCTGCAGCAGATGGTGAAGCGCGGGAAAATTGCTCTGCAGTACATCCCGACCTCCGAGCAGCCGGCGGATTTTCTGACGAAGGCGCTGCATTTTCCGGCATTCAACCAGTGCTTCGTCGAAATCGGCCAAGTGCGTCTGGCCGACGTGGGCGACGGAGATGACGAGGTGCAGCAGTAGGTGCCGTTCCCTTCTGCACGGCTGGTGCGGTGATCTACGTGCTTTGTGTTGGGTGCACGTAGACGGAAATTTCTCCTTGTATTCTATCCCTCTGGGTTCTGGGTGGACCTTGTGTTTGGGTACCCAAGCGTGAGCTGGGCAGGGGAGTGTCGAATAGAAAGCCCCCGCCCTCGCTTGGGCGCAGCCGATCTCGCCGTCGACGGGAAGTTCTCGACGGATTGGTAGAAGAAGTAGTCTTTTGCAGTTTGACGGAAGTTGCAGTCGAGCAAACTCCGCTCGACGGAATCTGGTCGACGAGCTCTGCGCGATGAGCTCTGGTCGAAGATCTTTGCGCGACGAACTTCCGTCGAGGAACTCTGGTCGAAGAGTTCTGGTCGAGGAGCTCTACTCGTCAAACTCTGTTCGACCGAGCGATGGCAAGTCCTTCGACCGAAGTTGCAAAGTTCTGCGAAACTCTGCGGAGGTGTGCGAACTTTCGCCCAGGAGATTTTGGCGAAGTTCTACCTGCGGAACGGCAGAACGTGCTCGACGGTGTGCACCTGAAGAAACCGACGACACGTTTTCTACCTGGCACCTGCGCAATGTGCCTGACGGTGAAACCGCCAACCCGCACCTACTTGGTAGGTGCGCACATCTGCGCAGATAGACAACCTGCGACTGCAGATAGTTACCTGCGACTGCAGATAGTCACCTGCGACTGCAACGCTGGCAGACCGCGCGCAGTGCAACGTTGGCAGAACACACTGCTGCAACGTTGGCAAGCCGCTCTTCTGCTGCACTGGCAGATTTCGCCCTTGCTAGGAGTTGAATGCCCTTCTAGTTCCTTTTGTTCTGCATACCTCAATTGTACTACCAACTTTTCATTGCAAGTTGTTCTTTTTTGACTTCCTTAGTGGAAACTCTTGCAAACTTTCTCTGTGAACACAAGCAAGCAGTAAGAACGTTAGAACAACGCTATGATCACCCGCACAGCTCTGTGCCCTCCACTGTAGTCCACTCCCGTTGTGTAGTGACTCTCCGCAGGCATAGCAAGCGTCGACCTGGTAGCGTTAGCGTTTGCTTACCCGCCATGTGATCATCCCTCATGCCCACTCGTGCGCCCAAGTACGCTTGGTTTCGCAATGGACTGAACGACCAGAAGTTGTGGGTAATCAGAGTCGGCCTGCTTCGATCGGCCTTGAAGGCCGCAGACCATTCTTGCTTCGCTACGGTTTTCGACGCCGACATCGCCGCCATCCCGTTAAGCACGACGTGAGCTGTTTCCCCGTTATCCAGTTATCGTTTTGTTTAGTCGGTCGCATCATGTATTGCATGTGCAGCGGCGGTCCGCTTCCAGGGTCACACTGCAGCGTCATAGCCATCCTCTACCCAGGAGATCTGCTGAAGATTGAGGGTCAGGTCTGCAAGACCTCGATCCGGCACATCGACCTGCATACTGGGAAACTGAAGCACCGCGACGAGGCCGTCCGCGTGCTGAAGTAAGTTGTGAATAGTCGTCGATTTCCCGCTTGTTAGTCGCCGGCCCAGGGTATCACATGCTGACCGCCTCCCTTTACCACGATGCTCCAGGCTATTCCGCACGGCAGTCCTGGCCGAGCTGGGGCGTCCCGGTAGGCAGTGGGACGGGGCACCGCCATCACAAGCAGTGGTGGAGGACAGGCTTGCCGACTGCGACCACCCTATCCGCGACGTGAGTTGCACGTTGCACGTTTATCCATTAAGGAGGGTGCACGTTCCGCTATGCTCCGCTCACAATGTTCCGCGCTTGCCGGTGTTGTATGCAGAAAGTGCCAGACACAGTGTCGGACCAGAAGGTCGGCATCGGCATGCTTGCCGCGACGTCGTTCGGGTGGGTGGCCAAGCAGGTTGACCTGCTGACGGGCGAGAAGGGTCGTGGTGCGGTGAGCATCGAGAACATCAAGACAAAGGGGCTGCGGTCGTTGCGAGACAGCATGGTGGAGTACATCTGCAAGCGCATCACCGAAAAACGCTCTGCGGCACCGACATCACAACCCGCCGACAGTGTGATTGATGACGACGGCGCGGAAAGACAGACGGCGCCCCAAGCAGCAGTTGCCGCCCAGCATCAGGGGAACGCGAGGGTGTCTACGGAAGGAGGAAACGGTGGTGGAGGAGGCAACACTGCGACAGGTGGAGGAAGGAAGGAAGAGGAGGAGTTGGAGGAGGATTCGGAGTCGGAGTCGTAGTCTGAGGAGGAGCCGGAGGAGGAGGACGAGGCGGTGAAGCGGAAGGACGAGGAGGAGGAGGAGGAGAAGGACGAGAAGGATGACGTCGATGAGGAGGAGGAAGGGAAGGATGAGGAGGGGGAAGGGAAGGATGGGGAGGGGGACGGGAAGGATGAGGAGGGGGTGGAGGAAGTGGTGGAGTTTGAGGTGGAGTTCGAAGAGGAGGAAGCTGCGGTAGAGGCGGTGGGGTCGGTGGATAAAAAGAACGAGGAAGCGGAGGATGGCAATGCGGGTAATGATACAAGGTCGGCAGATGGGGGGAAGGAGAAGGATGAGGTCGGCGTGGAGGCAATGACGGAAAAGGGCCAAGAGGAGGCGGCATGCGAAGGTGGGAAGGTGTCGGTCGACGCCGGCGAAGCGGCGAACACCACGAGCGTGCAGGAAACGGGGGACGCTTCTGGTAGGCAGGGTAATGAGCTGGACGACGTCGAGCAGGTGCGACGGGAGAACTGGCTGTTGAGGGCGGAGAACGCTCGGCTGGCAACGTTGCTCGATGCGGAGCAGGCTCGGCTGGACAGGTTTTTTGTTGGGATACGTGGACTCGTCGACCACGTGAAGGAGTTGGCCGAGCAGGTCGACGACACCGAGAAGTATGCCGCGGAACAGCTGCGAAACGCGACGGCGGCCATGTTGAAGACAATCACGGGCAACATCACTGGCAGCTTCGACGAAGCGTGGAAGACGATGAAGACCTTTGCGGAACACGCGACGGCGTGGTTGGAGGACTTCGACAACCCGCAGGGTCGTGTGGCAGTTGCACGCGCGGTAGCGGTCGACGCGTTGGCCGAGCATGTGACTGAGCCCGCCGCAGCCGCCGCCACCGCCTCAGCCCACGCCGTGCAGCCGCCGCCACCGCCTCAGCCCACGCCGCCCGCCCTCCCGGATGAGCTCTTGAAGTCGTTCAAGGCCGACATTATGAAGGCGGTGACGGAGGCCACCCAGCAGTCTTTCGTTGCTTCCGGGATGAAGATGATGGCCGAGATGATCGGCACTGTGGCGCCTGGTCGACGTGGGTCGTCGCCGACGGCCAATGACGGTGATCACGCGCAACGGAAGACGGCCAACAAGCAGGGCCGGAAGAGGACAGGCGACAGAGATGACAAGGAGAGCGCGAAGGGCGACGCGAAGCGGAGCAAGGGATCGGACGGGAGCCGCGGCTCAAAGCCTGCGCCACAGAGCGTGGTCGACCAGCTGAAGACGAAGGCGGGGTGGAGGGTGATAAGGACGTCGAACACCAAGGGTGGCGGAAGCGGGACGGCAGAGGGTGGCCCTGCCGACGGGGTTGCCGCTAACGTCACCGCTCAGCCAGGCCCGCCTTTGGTCGCCGAGCAGACCCATCCTCAGGCGAGCGGTGGGAAAGTCGTGACCGACAAGGAGGTCCCAACTGCTCAGGCGGCGGAAGATGGCGGCGCCGGAACCACCAAGGGACCGTCCGTCGCTGTGGCGGCCAAGGGCAACGCGAAGGCTGCTTCTGCTACGGTCGCCGGCACCACCAAGTGCCCTCCCCGTAACCCCCCTGCGGCTACCAGCGCGCCTGCCGGCCAGTCAGGTGCGACCAAAGATGGGGAGGCCCGTGCGGCCCCTCCAGCTCCAGGAGCCCCGGCTACCGGCAAAGGCGGCGCGAAGGCTGCTTTGGCTAAGGGCGCTGCTCTGGCATCAGCTAAGGGCCCCCCCGGTGCTGACGCGCTTAGGGAGATGCTCCGCCGCATGGAGTTACATAGCAGGGACGTGCAGCAGCATCCCGTGGTCGACGCCGGCCTTGCCGGAACATCACGTCGCTCCGTCACTCCGCAGGTTGCCGGCACATCGTCCGGGGCCCCACCTGCAGCGCATCCGGTCGCCGCCCCACCGCCTGCGGACCCCAAGTCAGCGTTTCTACGCGCCCATTTAGTCGGACACAAAGCGGTTGCTCCACCGGTGACTCAGCAGGAACACGGCAAAAGCGCGACGACGACGTCGGTAAACGTGACCGCACCCTCACCAGGTGCAGCTGTGGTCGATGCACCGGCGGAGAGGGGAGTGAGTGCAGCGCTAGCCACCGGCGGCCGCGCCGACAAGCATGCCAAACTCGCTGCCGTCCTGGCCCATTTTGAAGCAGCAAAACGCCCTGAGCACGCCCCTGCTATGGCCATCATGGACACGGCGCATGTGGAGCCGTCGCCGACCCACGGAGGGGGATCGGCGGAGCCGACGGCTGCAACGGGTGCTGTCGCCGAGAGAAATGCGAGAGGGAAGGGGAAGGTTGACACCGGGAAAGGGAGGGCAGTCTCTCAGAGGAGCACGCGGGCGATGTCGGCGGGGAAGGAGATGTCGGAAGAGAAAGGGAAGAAGGCGGAAGGGAGTCAGGACAAGAAGGGCGGCAAGGGGAAGCCAGCGAAGAAGAAGGAGAAGGCGGAGGAGGAGGACGAGGAGGGTGGCGAGGGAGATAAAGAGCAAGGACGCAGGGGTCATGGCATCCGCCATGACAAGACCGGCGACTGGCAAGGGTGGGTGGGCGAGATTAAGGTAAACGGACGGAATGGATACATCGGCAAGTCGAGGGAGAAGATGGAGCTGGCCTACGAGCACGCGATTGCGTACGTTGTCTTCGACGGCTACGTGAGCAAGGTGCTCATGAAGGAGCTCACCGTCTTGAAGCCGGGGGAGTTGGAGAAATGGAAGGAGGTGTGGGAGGAGGTCAAGTTCTTACTGACTGGGTTGTGGACGGTGATGTGGGCCAGAGGCTTGTGCCATCCGAGAGCAAGGTAAGACGGATACCGACGCGCCGAGTTCTGTCGACCATGTCGGTGTCATTACGCTGATGTCGGTGTCGTTTTAATGTGTTTGCGCGGCAGGTTCGACGACATACTCGGCAGGTACCGTGGGTACGTGAGGTCGGGTGATGCGCTTCATGGGGTGCTCTGGCCGGCGATCTGGTTCCCCATCATAAAAAACACGGAGGAAGGCAAGGAGGAGACGGGGGCTCTCATGTCGGCGATGATAAATCGCGTGTCGATGTGCGCGGCGTATGGGAAAGTCGCGGCGAGCGCGGCGTTTGGGAAGGTTGACGAGAGCGTAGAAGGGAATGCGGGAGAGAAGGCGGAGATAGAAGGCGCGGAGGGGAAGGCGGACGAGAAGAAGGAGATGGGGGCCCAGGCGTTAGCGGCATCTGCATGCGCCCTCTGGTGCTTCGTGGAGATGGGAGCGTCGTTGCTTGGTGCTGTGGGCAAAGGGAAGGCGGCGGCGATGGTGGCAGGTGCGGAGGAGGAGAGGGCGGAGGCATTCAAGAAGGTGATGCACGCGGTGATCGACTTAGCACGCAGTCGGCCGGCTCCCGCGGGGGAGGTTGCCCATAACGTCGCGCCATCGCTGCAGCGCCAGGCAGTGGTCAGGGCCTTCGAGGAGGGAGTTCAGGAAGTCAAGGCCGACATGATCGCTAGAGCGACGGTCGAGACCTTGGCGTTCTGGGGAATGTGCCCCGTCGCCGGGCCCAAGCTTAAAGAGCAGGGCATCGATGTGCCGTGTGACGCGAAGATGGAGTACGATATGGATCACAGGGGGAGGAAGTGGGAGAAGGTCAAGCAGGGCAAGGGCAGCAAGAGGAAGAAGGGCAAGGAGGGCAAGGGTAGTACGGATGCGTAGTTGGCGGGCTGTGGTGTGCGGGATGCTATGGTATGGTCGGCGCCGATGTCGTAGTAAATCTAATGACTTTTTGATCGTAGGGCACGAATCTTCTTTGTTTCTGTTTGCTTCATTTTGTGATGACCCTAAACCCTACTGTCCACATTGAAACTTGCTAGCCGTCTTTGAACGATGAGCCTTGTCGGCGCATCTGTCGACATAAAAAAGAACATGCTACTCGGCGACGAGCTCTGACTAGGTACATGTCGACAGCCTAGCAACATGCAATCCTGCGAGACGTCGACATCGATCTGTGTTTTGATTAGTAATGAGCGACCGACTACATTTAACACGGCGGGATCAAGTAGGTTTGCAAGGGCCTTGCAGTGGGTTGTTACAAACTACCAGAACAACATTTGAAAAAAGAGGGGGGGGGGGGGGGGGGGGGGGTTTAAAGTCTGCCACAGTTAACAGCATCGAACTACGCACACGCATATCCTACAAGCGCGCTCATGCCGACTTCTTCCGCTTGGTCGGAGGACAGTGCACCGGAGCGGTCGGTTTGGCCGGTGCTGTCGACTTGGCCGGTGCCGTCGGCTTCGCCAGGTCGGCCTTGGTCTTCGGCATCTGCTCCTTCCACGTGTCTGGATACAGGGTTTTGACCCAATCACTCTGCTTCAGGTTGAGCACCACAAGCGCACAGGCAAGGCGTAGCTTTGAGACCACCTTGGGGCCCAGCCCCTTGACTCCCATGCCAGGCTCTTTGGACAACATCAGTGCCGTTCCCGGTTTGAGCACCGTGAGGGCATCGACGAAGGTCCTGATGCCCGATGCCGCGATCCTGTGCAGTGTGTCAACCACGGCCTTGGTGTCGGCTTCGCCGTTGCTCGCGCGTAGCTGGCGCACCGCATCCATGACCTTCAGCATGCGGCGCACCCTCTTGTTGAGTGCACCCTGTGTCGCGCCGGCGAGGAGGGTGTGGCGGTCGATGAACCCCGGCTCGGCAATCCTGTCGCAAAGCCGACGGGTGTCATTAGCGGTGGTAGAGTTCCAAAGGCGCCAGGCGTCCTTCACGGTCTTGGCCTCCCGCCACGGTTGTACCACGTTGAGCTCGTAACTAGCCTCCTCGTCCGTTTGTGGGGGTGGCGGGAGTTTGTCGTCCCCGCCGTTGGCGCCGGCTCCCATGTTGGCCGAATCCGCCGAGCCACCCTCGCTGGGAGCTTGCGCGGTAGCACACGGCGGGGCCTCCGGCACTCTCCGTGCTTCTGACACACAGAGTGCCTCGGTGAGACGGGTTATCTCGGCGGTGAGAGACGCGATGGTGTCGTCGTGCTTCTCAAGCTCCTCCAGGAAGTCAATCTTCTCGTTCGCGGCGCGCTCCATCTCCTTTGTCACCTTTGCCTTGAGGGATATGTTGTAGTACTCGGTGTCCATGCGGACAGAGATTTCCTGTAGCGGTAGGACAAAGACGTTAGCTGTGAGGTGGTTTGGAATGCCCTACATCCAGCTCGTCGTCGACTTACCTCTGCCTGAATTTGGGTCGAGTCCCGACGCTTGATGATTGTCTCGGTGTTGAGCACTTCGACCCGTTTCACCCAGTGCTCGAAGAGGGGGATCCGGCAGAGCAGGGAGCCTTGGACGTACGGGTGCCATGGTGTGCGGACCAGCTTCACCGCTAGGTCCTCGGCGACGATGCGGCGCAGCATCTGGAGTGTGCGCCAGAAGTGCACCGCGGCTTTGTCGGCTTCGGACCCCTCGGCAGCCTTCCCTTCCGCCTGCAATTCGTCACGTGTATTAGGAGTTCAGACACTGTCGGCAACACGACTCGGAAACAAGGATACGAGGGCGTCGACTAACATATCGTCCTCAGCATGTCGTCGACGCCGGGGAAGATGTGCTCGGCGAGGAGCTTCAAGAGCTTATCGGATGGCTCCACCTTGCTCCGGCCCAAGAAGTAGTCCTGCTTGTAACCAGAGTAACCGGCCTTCTTCATCACCACCCCCACCGGAATGGCGGTGATGTACGCTCGCGTCATCTTGTCGAGCGCCCAGTGACCCAGCTCCGCGATCTCGGCGCGCGGCGTGCCGTCGATGGCCAGCTCCTGGGCCCCTCTGGCTCGAGCGGCGTGCACGTTCCTCTTGCAGAAGACCCCGTTTTTGTCCCACAACTGCCGCGTCCAGCGTTGGTGGCTTGCCGCGGAGAGCTCCCCTTGGCCGGTGTCGTTTTTGGCGAAGAAGAGGTGCTTCTTGTACCAGCTCGCGCGTGTGCTAGTGTCCACCGGCGGAATGAGGCGGACGCCGTGAAACTGGCCGATCTGGTCGATGATGAAGTGCAACCACAGGCCCGTCTCGCCGACGGCGCACAACTCCGCTTCAAGGTGCCGCACAGCGTAGCTCTGCTGCAAACGCGCATCCTTGGACGTCTTCGAGTTCCGCGCAGCGATGACCATGACGACTGGCTGGTTCTCCGGGTTCACCGAAAAGGTGCTCGCAAGTCAGTACAAGAATATGTCGGGGAGCGTGATCTCGCGGATGCTTGCGCCGCGCAGGAGAGAATGGTGGGAGAGTAGCATGAGCACCTTCAACAGCAGAAACCGCCACAGCGTCTACGACGGGCCCGTACCCCGCGGGTTCCAAGCCTGGGTCGCCCACGTCGGCAGCACCCTGAACATGATCTGGCGGAACTATTCTGCGGTGTAGGTATCGCCAATGGTTCCGCGACGCCTATCGGTGCAGTTCCTGCCGACAATGCCGAGGGTAAGGGGCATTTAGGGAGACGTCGACACAGTACATGACAACAAGAGAGTGGTCGACAGAGGTTAAACAAAAACTCACTTGAGGTCCCGCTCGTTCTTCGTGCGGATCATGAACCGCACCTCCGACCTGACCACCGATATCTCACGCATGATGCTCAACTCTGTCTCCCGGTATATCGTCGCCTCCACTCTCGTCGCCATCTGGCATGCCTTTATGCGCCCGAGGAGCGTGTGCACCGTTGTAGATTGCACAGGCTGTGTTCCTGTGGCGTTGTCGCCCTCCTTGCAGGACTCGGCATCGAGCTTCAACTCCCAAACCATGTGCTTCACGTATGCGCGAAGCCGGGACGTGGTGACCCTAGGGCTGTGCAGCCACACGTATGCCCGGGGGACATCGGCCTCTTGGTCCCAATTGTTCTTCTTGTTGTCCCGGATGTAGTGCCCTATCTCATCGACGTGCTTAAGCCTGTACTCCTGCAGAAGCTTGTTGCGAATTTGCCTCAACATCTTCGCCGCCCACCTCTTGTAGTGATAGATCCACGAGGTGTACTGCCTCAGCGTGCTGTTCCTCTCCACGGTTTGCAGGTGGCGTAGGGCGTCCAAGACGAGCACGTCGATGGACGCGTACACCATGTCGTCCTCGACGAAGTCTGCCGCCCTCCACTGTTCGCGCGGCACTGACAAGTTCTCCTGGTCGCCATCCTCGTCCTGTACGAGCAGATCATCTATGTATTCAAGTTCCCGACTGAGTCGTTCTTCGAAGGTGCGCGGATAAATGCTACGCGGCGGATGCTCGTCGTTTTCGTCATCGCTTTCCTCCTCCTCCTCCCCCCCATCCTCCTCTTCGTCGACCTCTACCAGGTTTCCAGAGCCGGCCGGTGCCGACGAAGTTCCCGGCCGACCATTTCGCGTCGGATTCTGTTTTTTATTCTTGTTAAACTCCCCAATCGGCGGTGTGGGAATGTCCTTGGTGAACTCCCCTTCTAGAATCTGCGTCAGCTTGTCAAGATCATAGAGTAACGGGAGCGTCTCTTCCCCAGTAGATGCCGGACAGTGGTCGGTGGATGGTCTAGCGTCGGTCATGTCGACGTTGGCCATGTGGAAGCACGTATGTTGCTCTACCGTCGTTCGTGTGCGAAGCGGAGGTCGGTAAACCAGAGACGGTACTGATTCACGGGTGCGGTGTACGACCGAAGAGTAGCGCGTCTGTCTTCTTCTAGATATCGTTCAATAAAGTCTAACTCGTGTTCGGCCTCGAGATTGCGGGGGTTGGTAAACCAAAGACGGTACTGAGTCACAGTTGTGGTGAACGCCCAAAGAGTTGCGCAGCGGTTTTCTTCGAATTCTCGATCGAGTGCGCCTAACTCGGCTTCGACCTCGAGCCGTTCCAGCTGCGCTTTGATGTCGGCGTCTACAGAGACGGCGGGGGGTGGATTGGGTTGCGGCTGTTGGGCTCTAGGGCGACCTCTGTGTCAGAATGTTATACTTGTCTAGCCTGCAGTGGGGTACTCTATAGCGAGTACAACCCAATTAGGGTTTCGTATATGTATGCCAACTGCTGCTAGTGCAACCTTCTCTCTTCTTCGTTCTCGTTCTAAGTTTCACATGCTATCAGAGCATCTACGCTCCTGGCCTATGGGCCAACCTAACTGCTTCCGCAGCTACTCTGTGTTCTGCACGCCCCGTGACGTGCCCCTCGCGCGACCCTTAGCGGCCCTGTCGCCACCCCTCGCGGCCCCGTCGCCACCCTTCTCGGCCCCTCGCGGCCCCTTCGCAACCACGTTGTCGCCCTTCCAGGCCCCTCGCGGCCCCTTCGCGGCCCTGTCGCCGCCACTAACGGCCCCGTCGCCGAACTCTCAGGCCCCTCGCGGACCCTTCGCGGCCCCGTCACCGCCCCTAGCGGCCCGTCGGCGCCTTTCCAGGCCCCTCGCGGCCCCTTCGCGACCCGAGAGCCGCCCCTATCGGCCCCGTCGCCGCCTCCAGCGGCCCCGTCGCCGCCCCTTGCGGCCCCGTCGCCGCCCCTAACGGCCCCGTCACCGCCCCTATCGGCCCCGTCGCCGCCTCCAGCGGCCCCATCGCTGCCCCTTGCAGCCTCGTCGCCGCCCCTAACGGCCCCGTCGCCGCCCCTATCGGCCCTGTCGCCGCCTCCGGCGGCCCCTTCGCCGCCCCTTGCAGCCCCGTCGCCGCCCCTAACGGCCCCGTCGCCGCCCCTATCGGCCCCGTCGCCGCCTCCAGCGGCCCCGTCGCCGCCCCTTGCGGCCCCGTTGCTGCCCCTAACGGCCCCGTTGCCGCCCCTATCGGCTCCGTCGCCGCCTCCAGCGGCCCCGTCGCCGCCCCTCGCGGCCCCGTCGCCGCCCTTAACGGCCCCGTCGCCGCCCCTATCGGCCCCGTCGCCGCCTCGAGCGGCCCCTTCGCCGCCCCTTGCGGCCTCGTCGCCACCCCTAACGGCCCCGTCGCCGCCCCTATCGGCCCCGTCACCGCCTCCAGCGGCCCCGTCCCCGCCCCTTGCGGCCCCGTCGCCGCCCCTAACGGCCCCATCGCCGCCCCTATCGGCCCCGTCGCCGCCTCCAGCAGCCCCGTCGCCGCCCCTTGCGGCCCCATCGCCGCCCCTAACGGCCCCGTCGCCGCCCCTATCGGCCCCGTCGCCGCCTCCAGCGGCCCCTTCGCCGCCCCTTGCGGCCTCGTCGCCACCCCTAACGGCCCCGTCGCCGCCCCTATCGGCCCCGTTGCCGCCTCCAGCGGCCCCGTCCCCGCCCCTTACGGCCCCGTCGCCGCCCCTAACAGCCCCGTCGCCGCCCCTATCGGCCCCATCGCCGCCTCCAGCGGCCCCGTCGCCGCCCCTTGCGGCCCCGTCGCCGCCCCTAACGGCCCGGTCGCCGCCCCTAACGGCCCCGTCGCCGCCCCTATCGGCCCCTTCGCCGCCTCCAGTGGCCGTGTCGCTGCCCCTTGCGGCCCCGTCGCCGCCCCTTGCGGCCCCGTCGCCGCCCCTAACGACCCCGTCGCCGCATCTAACGGCCCCGTCGCCGCCCCTATCGGCCTCGTCGCCGCCCCTTGCGGCCCCGTCGCCGCCCCTAACGGCCCCGTCGCCGCCTCCAGCGGCCCCTTTGCCGCACCTTGCGGCCCCGTCACCGCCCCTTACAGCCCCGTCGCCGCCCCTATCGGCCCCGTCGCCGCCCCTTGCGGCCCCGTCATCGCCCCTAACGGCCCCGTCTCCGCCCCTATCGGCCCCGTCGCTGCCTCCAGCGGCCTCGTCGCCGCCCCTTGCGGCCCCGTCGCTGCCCCTTGCGGCCCCGTCGCCGCCCCTAACGGCCCTAACGCCGCCCCTATCGGCCCCGTCGCCGCCTCCAACGGCCCCGTTGCCGCCCCTTCCGGCCCCGTCGCCGCCCCAAACGGCCCCGTCGCCGGTCCTATCGGCCCCTTCGCCGCCTCCAGCGGCCCCGTCGCCGCCCCTTGCGGCCCCGTCGACGCCCCTAACGGCCCCGTCGCCGCCGATATCGGCCCCGTCGCCGCCTCCAGCGGCCCCGTCGCTGCCCGTTGCGGCCCGGTCGCCGCCCCTAACGGCCCCATCGCCGCCCCTATCGGCCCCGTCGCCGCCTCCAGCAGCCCCGTCGCCGCCCCTTGCGGCCCCATCGCCGCCCCTAACGGCCCCGTCGCCGCCCCTATCGGCCCCGTCGCCGCCTCCAGCGGCCCCTTCGCCGCCCCTTGCGGCCTCGTCGCCACCCCTAACGGCCCCGTCGCCGCCCCTATCGGCCCCGTTGCCGCCTCCAGCGGCCCCGTCCCCGCCCCTTACGGCCCCGTCGCCGCCCCTAACAGCCCCGTCGCCGCCCCTATCGGCCCCATCGCCGCCTCCAGCGGCCCCGTCGCCGCCCCTTGCGGCCTCGTCGCCGCCCCTAACGGCCCGGTCGCCGCCCCTAACGGCCCCGTCGCCGCCCCTATCGGCCCCTTCGCCGCCTCCAGTGGCCGTGTCGCTGCCCCTTGCGGCCCCGTCGCCGCCCCTAACGGCCCCATCGCCGCCCCTATCGGCCTCGTCGTCGCCTTCAGCGGCCCCGTCGCCGCCCCTTGCGGCCCCGTCGCCGCCCCTAACGACCCCGTCGCCGCATCTAACGGCCCCGTCGCCGCCCCTATCGGCCTCGTCGCCGCCCCTTGCGGCCCCGTCGCCGCCCCTAACGGCCCCGTCGCCGCCTCCAGCGGCCCCTTCGCCGCCCGTTGCGGCCCCGTCGCCGCCCCCAACGGCCCCGTCGCCGCCCCTAACGGCCCCGTCGCCGCCCCTATCGGCCCCGTCGCCGCCTTCAGCGGCCCCGTCGCCGCCCCTTGCGGCCCCGTCGCCGCCCCTAACGACCCCGTCGCCGCATCTAACGGCCCCGTTGCCGCCCCTATCGGCCTCGTCGCCGCCCCTTGCGGCCCCGTCGCCGCCCCTAACGGCCCCGTCGCCGCCTCCAGCGGCCCCTTTGCCGCACCTTGCGGCCCCGTCGCCGCCCCTTACAGCCCCGTCGCCGCCCCTATCGGCCCCGTCGCCGCCCCTTGCGGCCCCGTCGCCGCCCCTAACGGCCCCGTCGCCGCCCCTATCGGCCCCGTCGCTGCCTCCAGCGGCCCCGTCGCCGCCCCTTGCGGCCCCGTCGCCGCCCCTTGCGGCCCTGTCGCCGCCCATAACGGCCCTAACGCCGCCCCTATCGGCCCCGTCGCCGCCTCCAACGGCCCCGTTGCCGCCCCTTCCGGCCCCGTCGCCGCCCCAAACGGCCCCGTCGCCGGTCCTATCGGCCCCTTCGCCGCCTCCAGCGGCCCCGTCGCCGCCCCTTGCGGCCCCATCGACGCCCCTAACGGCCCCGTCGCCGCCCCTATCGGCCCCGTCGCCGCCTCCAGCGGCCCCGTCGCCGCCCCTTGCGGCCCCATCGCCGCCCCTAACGGCCCCGTCGCCGGCCCTAACGGCCCCGTCGCCGCCCCTAACGGCCCCGTCGCCGCCCCTATCGGCCCCGTCGCCGCCTCCAGCGGCCCCGTCACCGCCCCTTGCAGCCCCGTCGCCGCCCCTAACAGCCCCGTCGCCGCCCCTATCGGCCCCGTCGCCGCCTCGAGCGGCCCCGTCGCCGCCACTTGCGGCCCTGTCGCCGCTCCTAACGGCCCCGTCGCCGCTCCTATCAGCCCTGTCGCCGCCTCCAGCGGCCCACTCGCTGCCCCTTGCGGCCCCGTCGCCGCCCCTAACGGCTCCGTCGCCGCCCCTATCGGCCCCGTCGCCGCCTCCAGTGGCCCCGTCGCCGCCCCTTGCGGCCCCATCGCCGCCCCTAAAGGCCCCGTCGCCGGCCCTAACGGCCCCGTCGCCGCCCCTAACGGCCCCGCCGCCGCCCCTATCGGCCCCGTCGCCGCCTCCAGCGGCCCTGTCGCCGCCCCTTGCAGCCCCGTCGCCGCCCCTAACGGCCCCGTCGCCGCCCCTATCGGCCCCGTCGCCGCCTCCAACGGCCCCGTCTCCGCCACTTGCGGCCCCGTCGCCGCTCCTAACGGCCCCGTCGCCGCCCCTATCGGCCCCGTCGCCGCCTCCAGCGGCCCCGTCGCTGCCCCTTGCGGCCCCGTCGCCGCCCCTAACGGCCCCGTCGCCGCCCCTATCGGCCCCGTCGCCGCCTCCGGCGGCCCCTTCGCCGCCCCTTGCAGCCCCGTCGCCGCCCCTTGCGGCCCCGTCGCCGCCCCTAACGGCCCGGTCGCCGCCCCTAACGGCCCCGTCGCCGCCCCTATCGGCCCCTTCGCCGCCTCCAATGGCCCTGTCGCCGCCCCTTGCAGCCCCGTCTTGCCCCTAACGGCCCCGTCGCCGCCCCTATCGGCCCCGTCGCCGCCTCCAACGGCCCCGTCTCCGCCACTTGCGGCCCCGTCGCCGCTCCTAACGGCCCCGTCGCCGCCCCTATCGGCCCCGTCGCCGCCTCCAGCGGCCCCGTGGCTGCCCCTTGCGGCCCCGTCGCCGCCCCTAACGGCCTCGTCGCCGCCCCTATCGGCCCCGTCGCCGCCTCCGGCGGCCCCTTCGCCGCCCCTTGCGGCCCCGTCGCCGCCCCTAACGGCCCGTTGCCGCCCCTATTGGCCCCGTCGCCGCCTCCAGCGGCCCCGTCGCCGCCCCTTGCGGCCCCGTTGCCGCCCCTAACGGCCCCGTTGCCGCCCCTATCGGCCCCGTCGCCGCCCTTAACGGCCTCGTCGCCGCCCCTATCGGCCCCGTCGCCGCCTCCAGCGGCCCCTTGGCCGCCCCTTGCGGCCTCGTCGCCACCCCTAACGGCCCCGTCGCCGCCCCTATCGGCCCCGTCGCCGCCTCAAGCGGCCCCGTCCCCGCCCCTTGCGGCCCCGTCGCCGCCCCTAATGGCCCCGTCGCCGCCCCTATCGGCCCCGTTGCCGCCTCCAGCGGCCCAGACGCCGCCCCTTGCGGCCCCGTCGCCGCCCCTAACGGCCCGGTCGCTGCCCCTAACGGCCCCGTCGCCGCCCCTATCGGCCCCTTCGCCGCCTCCATTGGCCCTGTCGCCGCCCCTTGCAGCCCCGTCGCCGCCCCTAACGGCCCCGTCGCCGCCCCTATCGGCCCCGTCGCCGCCTTCAACGGCCCCGTCGCCGCCCCTTACGGACCCGTCGCCGCCCCTAACGACCCCGTCGCCGCACCTAACGGCCCCGTCGCCGCCCCTATCGGCCTCATCGCCGCCCCTTGCGGCCCCGTCGCCGCCCCTAACGGCCCCGTCGCCGCCTCCAGCGGCCCCTTTGCCGCACCTTGCGGCCCCGTCGTCGCCCCTTACAGCCCCGTCGCCGCCCCTATCGGCCCCGTCGCCGCCTCCAGCGGCCCCGTCGCCGCCCCTTGCGGCCCCCTCGCCGCCCCTAACGGCCCCGTCGCCGCCCCTATCGGCCCCGTTGTCGCCTCCAGCGGCCCCGTCACCGCCCCTTGCGGCCCCATCGCCGCCCCTAACGGCCCCGTGACCGCCCCTAATGGCTCCGTCGCCGCCCCTAACGGCCCCGTCGCCGCCCCTAACGGCCCCGTCGCCGCCCCTATCGGCCCCGTCGCCGCCTCCAGCGGCCCCGTTGCTGCCCCTTGCGGCCCCGTCGCCGCCCCTAACGGCCCCATCGCCGCCCCTATCGGCCCCGTCGCCGCCTCCAGCGGCCACGTCGCCGCCCTTTGTAGCCCTGTCGCCGCCCCTAACGGCCCCGTCGCCGCCCCTATCGGCCCCGTCGCCGCCTCTTGCGGCAGCGTCGTCGCCCCTTGCGACCCCGTCGCCGCCCCTAACGGCCTCGTCGCCGCCCCTAACGGCCCCGTCGCCGCCCCTTGCGGCCCCGTCACCGCCCCTAACGGCCCTGTCGCCGCCCCTAACGGCCCCGTTGCCGCCCCTATCAGCCCCGTCGCCGCGTCTTGCGGCCCCGTCGCCGCCCCTTGCGGCCCCGTCGCCGCCCCTAACGGCCCCGTCGCCGCCCCTATCGGCCCCGTCGCCGCCTCCAGCGGCCTCGTCGCCGCCCCTTGCGGCCCCATCGCCGCCCCTAACGGCCCCGTCGCCGCCCCTAACGGCCCCGTCGCCGCCTCTATCGGCCCCGTCGCCGCCCCTTGCGGCCCCGACGCCGCCCCTAACGGCACCATCGCCGCCCCTATCGGCCTCGTTGCCGCCTCCAGCGGCCACTTTGCCGCCCCTTGCGGCCCCGTCGCCGCCCCTAACGGCCCCGTGGCCGCCCCTATCAGCCCGGTCTCCGCCTCCAGCGGCCCCGTCGCCGCCCCTTGCTGCCTCGTCGCCGCCCCTAACGGCCCCGTCGCCGCCCCTATCGGCCCCGTCGCCGCCTCCAGCGGCCCCGTTGCCGCCTCTTGCGGCCTCGTCGCAGCCCCTAACGGCTCCGTCGTCGCCCCTAACGGCCCCGTCGCCGCCCCTATCAGCCCCGTCGGCGCCTCTAGCGGCCCTGTCGCCGCCCCTTGCGGCCCCGTCGCCGCCCCTAACGGCCCTGTCGCCGCCCCAATCGGCCCCGTCGCCGCCTTCAGCGGCCCCGTCGCCGCCCCTTGCGGCCCCGTCGCCGCCCCTAACGACCCCGTCGCCGCATCTAACGGCCCCGTCGCCGCCCCTATCGGCCTCGTCGCCGCCCCTTGCGGCCCCGTCGCCGCCCCTAACGGCCCCGTCGCCGCCTCCAGCGGCCCCTTCGCCGCCCCTTGCGGCCCCGTCGCCGCCCCTTACAGCCCCGTCGCCGCCCCTATCGGCCCCGTCGCCGCCTCCAGTGGCCCCGTCGCCGCCCCTTGCAGCCCCGTCGCCGCACCTAACGGCCTCGTCGCCGCCCCTATCGGCCCCGTCGCCGCCTCCAGCGGCCCCGACGCCGCCCCTTGCGGCCTCGTCGCCGCCCCTAACGGCCCCGTCGTCGCCCCTATCGGCCTCGTCGCCGCCTCCAGCGGCCCCGTCGCCGCCCCTTGCGGCCCCGTCGCCGCCCCTAACGGCCCCGTCGCCGCCCCTAACGGCCCCGTCGCCGCCCCTATCGGCCCCGTCACCGCCTCCAGCGGCCCCGTCGCCGCCCCTTGCGGCCCCGTCGCCGCCCCTAACGGCCCCTTCGCCGCCCCTAACGGCCCCGACGCCGCCCCTATCGGCCCCGTCGCCGCCCCTTGCGGCCCCGTTGCCGCCCCTAACGGCCCTCTCGCCGCCCCTTACAGCCTCGTCGCCGCCGCTATCGGCCCCGTCGCCGCCTCCAGCGGCCCCTTCGCCGCCCGTTGCGGCCCCGTCGCCGCCCCCAACGGCCCCGTCGCCGCCCCTAACGGCCCCGTCGCCGCCCCTATCGGCCCCGTCGCCGCCTCCAGCGGCCATGTCGCCACCCCTTGCGGCATCGTCGCCGCCCCTAACGGCCCCGTCGCCGCCCCTAAGGGCCCCGTCGCCGCCCCTATCGGCCCCGTCGCCGCCTCCAGCGGCCCCGTCGCCGCCCCTTGCGGCCTCGTCGCCGCCCCTAACGGCCCCGTCGCCGCCCCTTACAGCCCCGTCGCCGCCCCTATCGGCCCCGTCGCCGCCTCCAGTGGCCGCGACGCCGCCCCTTGCGGCCCTGTCGCCGCCCCTAACGGCCCCGTCGCCGCCCCTATCGGCCCCGTCGCCGCCTCCAGCGGCCATGTCGCCACCCCTTGCGGCACCGTCGCCGCCCCTAACGGCCCCGTCGCCGCCCCTAAGGGCCCCGTCGCCACCCCTATCGGCCCCGTCGCCGCCTCCAGCGGCCCCGTCGCCGCCCCTTGCAGCCTCGTCGCCGCCCCTAACGGCCCCGTCGCTGCCCCTTTTGGCCCCGTCGCCGCCTCTAGCGGCCCCGTCGCCGCCCCTTGCAGCCCCGTCGCCGCCCCTACGGCCCCGTCGCCGCCCCTAACGGCCCCGTCGCCGCCCCTATCAGCCCCGTCGCCGCCTCCAGCGGCCCCGTCGCCGCCCCTTGCGGCCCCGTCGCCGCCCCTATCGGCCCCGTCGCCGCCCCTATCGGCCTCGTCGCCGCCTCCAGCGGCCCCTTCGCCGCCCCTTGCGGCCCCATTGCCGCCCCTAACGGCCCCGTCACCACCCCTATCGGCCCCGTCGCCGCCTCCAGCGACCCCTTCACTGCCCCTTGCGGCCCTGTCGCCGCCCCTAACGGTACCGTCGCCGCCCCTTTCGGCCCCGTCGCCGCCTCCAGCGGCCCCGTCGCCGCCCCTTGCGGCCCCGTCGCCGCCCCTAACGGCCCCGTTGCCGCCCCTTTCGGCCCTGTCGCCGCCTCCAGCGGCCCCGTCGCCGCCCCTTGCGGCCCCGTTGCCGCCCCTTTCGGCCCTGCCTTGGCCCCGCCCCGGCCATGCTCCGTCGCCAGTCGCGGTGCATTGGGGGCACGTGCACCGCCCACCCCTCTTTTACCGTCGCCTGTCGAGGCGACCTGGGGGGGGGGGGGGCGAGCGTCGCCCCTTTTGCCGTCTGCTTTGGCGCCCTGGGAGGCCGCGCGTCGGCCCCCTCCCCTTTCCCCCTCCCCCCCCCCCGTAACCTCCCTACCCGCCATCTCGCCCTGCCCTGTGTTAGGGTTTGGGGGTGGCGAGTAGGGGGTGGCGGGTGTGTGGTCTCCCCTGCTCCTCCTCCTCCTCTGTCTCCCACTGCTGCAGATGCCGCTGAGGGGGGTGGGTGTGTGGGAGTCGACGGAGTGGTGCTAAGGGGTGGGGTGTGAGTGAACCTAGGGTGCAGCAGGGGGTGTGTGAAAGGGGGGTGCTGTGGGAGTAGAACTAGGGTTTGAGCAGGGGGTGTGTGTCGAGAGGTGTGGGGCAGCTGGAGGAGGTTGTGTGAAGGTAGCTGTCGTGTCGCCTGCAGCGCCTGTAGACCGTCGCCCTTGCTTCGGTAGCTAGTGAGCCTGTTGCACCAGTCGCCAGTGGGTTTGTTGCTCCTGCCGCTCGTCTATAGCCGCGGAGCCAGCTACTCCAGTAGTCCGTCGCCCTTGCTTCGGTAGCCACTGAGTCAGCCGCTCCTGTGCTCGTGCCTCTGCAGCTTCAGTCGTTGCCTCCCATCTTCTCTCCCTCCACTGTTCCTCCTCCTCCTCATTTGCCCATTGTTATTAACTCTAGCTTTGCTCCCTATTGTGAACTCCTGCTCTATGCCTGCTTGCTCATTGTGCTGATTACACCCCACTTTGGCTATGGGGGTGTGTCAGAATGTTATAATTGTCTAGCTTGCAGTGGGGTACTCTATAGCGAGTACAACCCAATTAGGGTTTCCTATATGTATGCCAACTGCTGCTAGTGCAACCCCTTCTCTCTTCTTCATTCTCGTTCTAAGTTTCACACTCTGGCCATGCGTCGCCGACTTGCACCGATGTTTAGCTAAAACAGCAGACGTCGACGTCGACGACTAGTGACCAAGTCGGCAACCGCGTAACCAACAGGTGCGATGACAGACTGGCAGCTGGAAATTCTAAGTGCACGAGAGAGCAGGAAGAAACGCAAGTGCGGACATGGGAACGAGCAGGCCCGCACAGTCACAGACGGGTATGGTCTTGAGCGACTCCAATGCTGTCGCGCTTGACGCACACCCCTATGCTCCTGCCGCCGTGCATGTGTTCTCGCAAAGGCGGCGCACTGCCCGAAGTGCCATGTGCCAAGCATGGCTAATGTGACGTCGCGCTGCTCCGAAGGGGCGTAAGCCTGGCCCTTTCCACGGTGGAATGGGCGTGTGTTACGTGGCTTGGGGCCGACATTGGCCCCTCAGTTCCGAAATTACAGCATGCCGACCCGAATCTCCCAGGGTTCTTGGAATCATCCCGAGCCCACCGTGGCAGCCATACCGTGGGCGCCCAAAGATCGGCGCCGACTTACAATCGGCGCGCTTGGTTGTTTCTTTAGGTTCATTGAACCCAGACTGTGTTGAGATTGTGACGTGTGGCTTGGTTGTGGGCCTTTGGATGAATTGGTCGACACCGACATCGCGTGCAGCTCGCGATACCACAGAACAGTTACACCCTGGACGGTCCGATTTGTGCTGCGTGGCTTCGCGCTCTGACATATTCAAAGGTGTGAACGACTTCCCGCGCAAGGAAAATCATCGCTGGAGCGAAACGTGGCCACGACGGCCACGTCGTGGCAGCCTAGAACACGGTGGGGACAGTCTGGCTCCCCCCTATTGGTCCGCGTGGCGGCAGTCCGGGCTCGACGTGGCGAGCTTTGCTATTTTGTCCGCTGAGATTTACTTCTCAGGAATCTCCCACCCGAAACCTATGTCGTCGGATTGTCGACAATCCCGAGGGCTCCCGAGGCCCCTGGGATGCCATTTGGGCCCAGATTGGAGCTTGGAGGTCGTCGCGAGCTCGTCAATCCCGAGGGGGGGCGTTGTCTTTTCTGAACCGCGAAATTGGGCGGGGTTTTTCGTCCGCTGAGGTATATCATCCCGCAACAGCGACAGTGACGGGGGCGGTGGTGGTGGTGGTGATCTACAGTTCCTTGGAAAAGGCAGCTGTATCCTGTCCTGCACGAAGGGGGTTTTTGTCACCAGCCTGCAAAAAACTATTATTTCCAGACTATACCACCCTACCCTCCAACCCAATGGCTAAATATTCACCATTGCTTTCCAATTTAACCACCATAGAAAACACTTCACAAACTTCATCTAGCAAGGTCTGTATTAGAAGTATAAAACATTCATCTAACTCTTGGGTTTAGTTTTATAATTATTTGAAGCTTATAAGAAATGTCATTGTAATTGAATTCCCCCTAGATCCACGTAATTATTACGGGCGCGGTATTGAAGGAACATACTAACAAAAGGGACTGGCTCAAAATTTCATAGTTTTATATTTAATTTACTGCACCCTAACATGTAAACCTAGCGAATGATATATCTGGAATGCTACAATCTGATACATATTGAATTGTGCTCACCATGATTAATCGGTTCTAAATATTACGAGCTACATGGCAAGCACGGATGTTATAACACTTGTAGATCTACTATATCACGTTCTCGCACAACTTCGCCGAAACCCGCAACATATTCTTTGGTTGTTTTATATAGAATCCAACCTCTATTATGCACCTATGTCAGAACATTATAGCTTATGCTTTTGTGTAGGCTGTAGTGGGGTATCCCACAAGGGGTACAACCCAATTAGGGTTAGTACTTGTACCCACTTCATTCATAGTTAATCCATTCTCGTTTTAGTTTTCTCATGGTATCGAGCATGTTCCCTCGTGGGAACTGTGCCTAGGGCCCACCAAGTCGAAAGTTTTTTTTTTTTTTTTTTCCTGCCCGGAGCGCGCTTAGCCCGAGTCGCGCTCCACTCTCTGAATTCGTCGAGCCGCCCTAGCGGCCAAGTCGCGCCGCCTTAGCGGCCCCTAATTCGTCGCCCTAGCGACCCCGTCGCCCTACCTACGGCCCCGGCCCCGTTGCCCTACTTGCGCCCCGGTCCCGTCCCCCTACCTGCGCCCCGGCCCCGTCGCCCTACCTGCGCCCCGGCCCCGTCGCCCTACCTGCGACCCCGGCCCCGTCGCCCCACCTGCGACCCTAGCCCCGTCGCCATACCTGTGGCCCCGGCCCTAGCCCCGTCGCCATACCTGCGCCCCGGCCCCGTCGCCCTACCTGCGTACCGGCCCCGTCGCCCTACCTTCGACTCGGCCCCGTCGCCCTACCTGCGGCCCCGCCGCCCTCACCTGCGGTCCCCGCCCCCCTTACCTGCGGTCCCCGCCGCCCTTACCTGCGGTCCCCGCCGCCCTTACCTGCAGTCCCCGCCGCCCTTACTTGCGGTCCCCGCCGCCCTCACTTGCGGCCCCGCCGCCTTCCCTGCGGCCTCGTCACCTGCTGCAGCGCCGCCCGCCACCCGAGCCGCCCGAGCCGCCTCACCTAGCCGAGCAGTCAACCGTCGCGCCGCCGTGCAGCAGCACAGCCGAGCCGCCCAGCAGCTGAGCAGCCAGACAACCGAGCAGCCGAGCCGCCCTGCAGCCGAGCTGCCCAGCAGCCGAGCAGCCGAGCCGCCCTGCAGCCGAGCCGCCCAACAGCCGAGCCGCCGTGCAGCCGAGCCGCCGTGCAGCCGAGCCACCGAGCCGCCGAGCCGCCCTACCTTCGAGCCGCCCAAGCAGCCCCGTCAGGTAAGCACAGCGCCTCTGTCACTGCACTGCCATTTCCCTACTATGTGCGCTGCTAGTCTACTATTGTCATGGCTACCCCTAGTGTCCTCGCTTTTGACGCCGAGGGTCGAGCCATTGACTTTGACGTCTGGGTAGATGACCTGCAGCTGTTCTTACAGTGCAATAGGGCAGACGGTCTCTCCCTCTTTGACCTCACCTCTGGTGCCTCTCGTGCTCCTGCTGCTGATGCTGACGCCACTGTTCGCTCACAGTGGGCCACGCGCGATGCTGCTGCACGTCTTGCTGTGCGTCGCCACCTCCCTACCTCTGAGCGTGCGCACTTTAGTCAGTACAAGAGTGCTCAGACCTTGTACGACGCTGTAGTTGCACGCTACTCCTCCCCTGCCACTGCTGCACTGAGCCGTCTCATGCTACCGTACCTCTTCCCTGACCTTGCTGCATTTCCCACAGTTGCTGACCTCATTACTCACCTCCGCACTAGTGACACTCGCTACCGCGCTGCGCTTCCTGCTGACTTCTGCGCCAAGAACCCCCCCCCCCATGTACATCACTCTCTACTACATAGTCACTTGCCTCTTTGACTCCCTTCGCGTAGTCAGGGACCACTTCCTCTCAGTCAGTCCCACCACTCTCACTGTTGACCTCCTCGAGAAGTCCCTCCTAGCGGCCGAGAAGAGCATAGTCGCTGTAGGGGCCTCTCGTGGTGACCCGCGCACCCCCATCTTTGAGGGGTGTTCCCCCTCCCCCCTTCTGCCCTCTGTTGCCTCTGCTGCTGCGGCCGACCTCCTTGGTCTTGAATCGGTCGGTGTGGCGTCTGCCCCTAGCAGGAGATGCCGCTCTGGCAAGGGCAAGGGGGGCAGGGGCACTCGAGGAGCGAGCGGGGGCGGAGGAGGAGGAGGTGGAGGCGGCGGGGGGAGTGGGGGTGGCGGTGGGAGTGGAGGTGGGGGTGGAGGTGCCGGTGGCGGCAGTGAAGGCGGAGGCGGCGGCGGCGGTGGCGGTGGGAGCGGAGGTGGCGGAGAAGGTGGCGGTGGAGGAGGCGGCGGAGGTGGCGGTAGTAGCGGAGGTGGCGAAGGCGGCGGAGGCCGCGGGGGTGGCGGTGGAGCTGGTCGCGGGTCTACGCAGAGGAGTGGCTCCGGTGGTGGTCCGCGCCAGCAGCAACAGTGCGGTCGTGAGACCGTGTCCCCTCAGCAGCTCCGTGAGTGGTACACTGCACGCCACCGGGGTGGGGGTTTTGGTCCGTGCACCTACGTCCTGCGCACCGGCGACCGAGCGGGTGAGCAGTGTGGGGGTGCGCACCCCACCCAGCGCTGCTTTGGCCGCCTGACGGACGCGTGGCGTCACCAATTCCCGGAGGCCACAGAGATCCCTCGCTGGGGCAAGCTGTCTAGGGCGGGAGTTGCCATCTATGATCTTGATTTTGATGCTACCCTTTTTGCCATCTATGTTGTGTCTATTAGTGATGAGGGTGACTGTTACCGGTGTTTCCCGCCCGATCCGGGCATTGAGACTGCTACTCTAGGTACTGGTGAGGCTGCTGCCCTAGGTGCTTGCGACGCTGCTGCTCTAGGTGCTAGTGCGTCTGCGTCGTCAGGTACTGGTGAGTCTGCGCTTTCAGGTACTACGTCGGCTTCGGCCTCCCTCACCTTCACCCTTGACTCTGGGGCTTCTCGCTCCTTCTTTCGAGACCGCACCACACTCACGCCGCTTAGTCGGTCGGTTGTGGTGTCTCTGGCTGACCCCTCTGGGGGTCCGGTCCTGTCTCACTTCTCCCCAGTCCTCCCGTGTCCGGCGGCTCCCTCTGGCACCTTGTCTTGTCTCTACCTCCCCTCGTTCTCTACGAACCTGGTGAGTGGTTCTAACCTACAGGATGGGGGAGTACACCTGTTCACTCCTGCACGTCAGCGGGTGACGCACTGCACAGAGGCTAGCACAGGCCGACACCTGGCTACGTTTACCCGTCAACCGGGGTCGAGCCTGTACACACTGACCACTGCGTCTCCTCCAGTTGCTGAGTCTGGTAGGGTAGCTGCGTCGGGTCAGGTGTTTGCTGCAGCGTCCAGGTCTGGTCCTGAGTCTGCCCCCTGTTCGTGTCGTCTTCTGTCTCACGAGACTCTCCTCTGGCACCACCGCCTTGGTCACCCCTCTCTGCTTCGACTCAGAGGCATGGCCTCCCGTCTTCTTGTTTCTGGTCTCCCCCGGTCCCAACCTCCCCTTACTGGGGGCCTGGCCCTACCTGTGTCCCCTGTGTCGAGGGGCGCCAGCGGGCTGCCCCTCACTCCTCCCAGTTTCCTCCGACAGAGGCCCCGCTGCAGACGCTTCACATGGACGTGTGGGGCCCAGCCCACGTCCGTGGACAGGGTCACGAGCGCTACTTCCTGCTCCTTGTTGACGACTACTCGCGTTACACCGCGGTCTTCCGCTTGTGCAGCTAGGGTGATGTCACTGAGGTGCTGATCGACTGGATCCGCGCAGCTCGTCTCCAGCTCAGGCAGAGCTTTGGCTCGGACTTTCCTGTGTTGCGTCTGCACTCGGACAGAGGCGGAGAGTTTTCCTCTGGCCTTCTGC